GCTCAATTTAAATCAAAACTTTTACTTTTAATACTTAAGTACAAAAAATATCAGATACTTTAATACTTTTACTTAAGTAAAATTCCTAAAGGAGACTTTAACTTTTACCAAAGTAATTTTTTGGTAAGATACTTGCACTTTTACTCAAGTATCACTTTGTGGTACTGTAATGTGCTATATAAATAAGTTTGACATTGACATTTTGCCTAAATGGTTTACACATTTAAATGAAGGCGCAGCACGCTTWACAAAAAGGTTGTCCATATCAAAAATCTCAAAACAAAAATGCAATAAAAAAGTAAAGACGCAGACAATCCATGACAATGTCACACAAACCCATTGGCGAGCATCAGACAGACAATAAAAACAGGAGTTTTTCAGTGACAGCCAGAGACATTGCAGAGAAAGCCATGAGTGAGCCGCGTGGAAGAGCTGAGGCCTCATAAACATTCGGCCGCATGTTGGAACAAAGTGTTCACGGTCCTGCTTTATGAGCAGCTTTCAGGATGTGTCTGTTTCATGCCAAGTGTGTTGATGAAGTCAAAACACGGACGCAAGAGCCTTCCACACACAACCAGAAACACAGTCAGGGTAAAAACTGGTTCTGTTTTCCAACACTGAACAAATAGTTTTGGGTCCAATCCTCTTTTTATTGTATCTATATCCTTTAGGVGGTATTTTAAAATGTTACAGTAATGTGTCAGACGATCTGTATGCTGATGATATACAGTTGAACTGTTCCTTTTGAGCCTCTGAGTTCTTCAAACTATCTGAACTCATTAACTGTSTGTYAGAAGTCAAAATATAGCTGAACAACAACTACCTGCAGTTAGATGCAAACAAGACTGAAACTCTTATTATCGCCCCGATGATAAAATCCCTGTAATCAGGCAGCACCTTGCTTTTTTAACCCCTTCAGTGAAAAATAGTCTCAGAAATCTGGGTGTTGTCTTTGATAGTTCTATGCCTTTTGACAGTCATTGTAAAACTTTAGTTTGTAACTGTTTTTATCATTTAAGGAACATTTCAAAGCTGAGATCATTTGTGTCACAGAAGGAACTAGAGATGGTTGTTCACGCTTTTTTTTCTTCTYGTTTAGATTACTGCAACAGCCTTTTTACATGCTTAAACAAATCCTCCTTGGCTCAGCTTCAGTCTGTGCAGAACRCTGCAGTGAGATTATTAACAAAGACCCACAGGAGAGCCCACATTACACCTGTTTTAGCCTCGCTGCACTGGCTCCCTGTGCATTTGAGGAATCATTTTAAAATGTTGGTTTTAACTTTCAGAGCACTTCATGGTCTGGCCCCCAAATACATTTTGGACCTTCTGAAGCCTCTCTGTCCATCCAGGACTTTGAGGTCTTCTAAACAAATGTTGCTGGTGGTCCCTCAAACCCATTATAAAACCCGTGGAGACAAAACTTTTCAGGTGGTGGCACCAAGGCTCTGGAACGCTCTCCCTCTGTCCCTCCCTTCACTCTTCAGATTCTTCTGACTCTTTKAAGAAACATCTTAAGATATTTTTATTCAGACAGGCTTTTAGTTAATGTGCTTTTTATTGTGCTTTAATTTTTGTTTTTTATATTTGTGATCTATTTTATTGTTTAGTTATTTTGCTCTTTGTTATGCACTTTGTGATGTTTGTGTCCGTGAAAGGTGCTATAGAAATAAAGTTGACTTACTTACTTAGTTCATGTGTTGCTGGATCCTCTGTGCGGCGACATAAAGAAGGGAGCAGCCGATACACGAACAGCATCTTAGCGTATGTGTTGTTTCACATAAAATAGTTCTATTTTAAGAAGCTGATCCCAAGGATTGGTCATTTATCATGAGAATTACTGCAAAGGCCAACAGACCAATCTTACTATCAAGTCTCTATTATAATAAAAATGATTCAGTTTCAGTTTATCCAATGACGACTGTGCACATGAGACATTAACCTCCTCAGAGGTAATGTTTGCTAAGTATTTATAGCCAAGTGCATGAAACATAAGCATATAAAAATGCTAAAACACAAATAAAATGATAAATTATGAATTGAAAGTTAACATCTCATTTTACTCACTGCAGTGCCCATATGTTTCAGGGTCAAAGCACACGGATCTGCTTTGACTCTTGTTAAACTGGACCAGTGACCAACACACACACACACACACACACACACACACACACACACAC